TAAAGTAGAATACATATGTACTGCTTTTGTTTAACAGCTACGCCTAGGATACTACGGTGAATCTTTACGATCCTAGGCTGATCTTCATTGAGATTACATATTGATCCTATCATCTTATTAGTGATGTATCTTGTCAAAACGGCGGTCGATTTGCATCGCTTTAGGAACTGCAGCGATAGGATATTAGTACGACTTTCTGTCGGGGAACAGCAATGATTCCGACATCAAATGAAAATCCTAGCTTACGAGAGTGAGAGCGGTGGTAGAAAAATATTGGAAGGTTGCACATCCGCGAGGGAAATACTAAGCTGATCAACTGAAATGGGTTTATTGCCATCACAAGTGAACTTCTGCCAATCATTCCTTTTTGTGGGCTTTGAGGTCACCGCGCGATTTTAACTCACGACAGTTGATGGTGTCTCATTGATCCCTTGTTGTTGTTCACAGAATCAAGGGGGACGGCAACGCTAGTGGAATCGCAGAAACTGGTTTCTTGGCTGGGATCTTTTAGCGTTCGAGTTTTTGGGAGTTGTTGCAACTAACCTGGCGCGCTTGGGCGCTGGTCGGGTAAGGTAAAGACCAGGAGCTCAAAACTACTTTCAAGTTCTTGAAGACGACGAGTTGTTCGGAACGTCGACCTAATAAACGGTTCCATCGTAGCAATCCTGTACCGCAAGGCACTGTGAAACATCTTGCGAGTTTTACTTTTGCTTTTGCATTTGGAAACTACACTTTCGTGAAACAAGACGTCCTAGTTCTTGTCTGCTACCTCCTTTCCCAGCTCTCTCGATATACATCATGACCATTTCCTCATCTTTTTACGCCATCCAACAAATTTAGCACCAACCTACGGCGGCTGTTATAATTGTATTTCACTGTTGTGATGAGGACCGCTATTTATAAGTCGGCGATCAGCTCCAGCCTTTGAAATAGCGAGTGAGTTGATAGGCATTATAACCATGACTTCTGCTTCTGAATAGAAATAGCATTTTTGAAGGGATAGATCAGAGGTAAACAAAAGCTTCAAACGATGTGAATACAAAGTCCTTGTAGGTTAGAAGGAGTTCGGAATAGCCACCATGACTTCATGAAGGGTGTAGTGCGATTCACGCGTCAATATAATGAGGTCATCAGACAAAACGGGCTAAAACATCATGCCTATCATCATAACGGAAGAAATAAGAACTTATAAGTAGAATAAGTAAAGGAATGACCAACTATGCACGTTTACAGAAGGATTGCGTTTACTAGGATCAAAAAATTTTAAGGTATTCTTATTTTGAAGTTTGACAAGTGAATTGTTGACCTACGAGGTGAATTCTCGATCTCGAAGAGGCTTTTCTGCCATAGTAAAGAGATTTGCTCTATTTATGGTGAAGCCGTGGATTACTGCAAATTTATTTGGTCCATATCAACAAAAAGGTACTGAAACGATACTGCGTGCGCGAAGAGCTCTAAAGGGGTCCCGCGTGAATCGCCCCCCCCCCCCTTCATGACTACTGAAAGGATTTTTTCAAAAAAGGCAAGTTTTCATGAAATTGATCATAATTAGGTGTATACTAATAATTCTAGTGTCTGAATGTGAATGTAAACTGTTGTGAGTTCCTATGACTACTGTCCGCCCTGCGAATAGTGCTGAGGCGCGTCGCAGTGGTTATAACCGCTTACTCGTTTCGCATACACAACTTTTTCTTGAAGATCGCAAAGAGAGGACGTGGAGCATGGGAGAAATGTTCCTCGCCCTATTGAACAAAGTAATTGTATTCGACTACCGAAATATTTTCTCGAGCGTCAGGAACTGTTCCCTAATCCTGATGATGCGTAAGATGTCCAAACAAAAATGAATCGTACTAATGTTGGGAAGCAGTCTCACGAACTACGGATTGACTGTTTTCCAAAAGTTTTGCAACAAATAACTCGGCTTTCATTCACTGAAGCATCCGGCGAAACAAAAATCTACTTCCAATCTTGATGCAGTTGAAATCATTTTGTTTCTGTTCAATTTATTCTGCCATTAGAATTGCAGGAACGTACGAAAACATCCTATTGTATGATCTGAAAGCCTGGAAATTCGAAGGCCACACTATATGGCCAAAGCAGTGATGCCATCAAAGCAATTTTAGTCTAAAATAGAAGTTTGTTATTGCCTTTGTAAGCCGCCAAGAGTTAACAATCAAACATCAGATGGCTTCCTGTGAGGTTCATGCACCTAGAATGAGGAAGATTTACTCCCTCCGCGTACAGTCAATGCCCTACATTCATAAAACAACCTTTTAACGCTTTTATGAAAGCCGTAGAGAATTGGAGAGGTAATATAAGACGACTAACTTGAAACTCGTCATAGAGGCCAAACATGAGGGCGCGCGAAGAGGTTCTCATTATGAGAGGCGGAAGTAGTCCTCGATAGAGCCTATGAATACCTTCCGACTTTACCTGAAAAAATACTTCAACTGATCAAACGTATTCTAACAGTCTCACAGTGACACTTTGTTAGATAATGATACAGCCACCTATGAATTCCACCAAGCCTCGCGTCACAGGGCACTCCGGAAAAAGTCTCGCTATGGAAAACGTGCCTTACTCAAACCTTAACTCCCACATCAATTGCAATTTCACCTCGAGAACACAGGCGAAGTTCTTTTTACTCCTCCAGGAAAAATCCAGTTGCCTATATTTCAAAGGACACATTCACTATTCAAATGAACTTAATCAGCAGCCAATAAAGGCTACCAGCAGTTCCTGATCAACTTGGTACCAAGCATCGATGAATGCTTTCTTCAGCTCACTGATGCCACCAGATCGCTTGTCTCCCTCATGAAACTTCCTTACCATGAATCCCCGTACGTTTTCCCGTACGTTATGGATTCAAGTCAGGGCTGTTAGCCGGCCAAGTCAAATGTTCTATTTGATTCCATCTAAACCAGGCCTGGGTGCTGACGTGAATCAAGGCGCCATCCTGCATGAATACGGGGTTTTGATGCCGATTCTGACGCCAGAAAGGAAGGACAGCACGCTTTATGGCTAGATAACCGGAAGAGTTGAGCTTTTTCGGAACAGAACGTAAATGAAGTCGTTCACAAGAAGAAATTGTTGACCACACCATGACTCTTCCTCCCCTGAAATTTCATCTGGAAAACTGGAGCTTATCCTTTCTCGGATCGTGCCAGTAGAGCCGTATGCCATCTGAGCCATCACGATTAAACTCTTTTCATCTGAAAAAATAACCTGGAAAACAAAACATCAAGGGAAGGAAGAGAAAACGACAAGACATGAAGGGCACCTTACTCCAATTGGTTCGGAGCAATCCCTGGCAAAAGCGACCCGGTTATCGAGATGCCTCATAGAGGGTGCTTTCCTCATTTTCTGCCCAACTATTAACTCGAGGCTTACTGACCACATTTCAAACGGTAATTCTCGACCATTGAGATTCGAGAACTTGGATTCCGTACTGACTTAGTCGTATTTGACGCTTTCATCATCATCCCCTCCTTTTTTTGTCCCATACGCTGAGGATTCCTGACGAAATTGTTGACAACTGCGTGGAATCGGCCGAAATCTCGAGCGATTCTGCGATTTGACAGTCCTGTAACTCTTTTGCAAGAACTAGACCTCGGAATCGAATAACAACTTTTCTTTCCCCATCACCTGGACTTTTAGAGCATTGCAAAAATGAAGCAATTGTGTAAGGTGAAAATGGAAGGCGATGGTGAAATATAAGGTGGCTGTATCATTGTGAATACAGGCGAAGTGATCTTCCTGGAAAGAATGAAGGGGAAAATTGTATCAGGTCGTAAGGAAAGCTCTAGCCGTTTTGTCAGCTAACTTTCAAAAAATCATAGCTCATCTCAAAGTGAACATTTTTATTCAAGTCCCATTCGATTCTACACATTTTTGCCAATGTGATAGAAGTCTGCCTATCCCATTCTTATAAAAGTCCGGAGATCTGGATTCCAAGAATTCGAGAAAGGCAGCTTCCACGTTGCCTTGATTTTTGAATACTCGATCCTTTAAGAAGTTGTCCAGATGTTTGAATAAATGGTAGTAATTAGGTGACAGGTCTGGTAAGTAGGGTGGATGAGGGAGAGCTTGGGTTCGCAGCTCGTTCAACTTCTGGAAGACAATTTGTGACACGTGGGGTCGCGCATTGTCGTGCAAGAGCAGGGACCGTGGCGTGGCGTCTGACTAATGCTGGCTGCATTTGACGAAGTTTCGTGTACATCTCGTGAATCCGATCACAATAGGACTGTGCGGCGATGGTTTTACTGGAGAAAGAAACGCGTAGTGGATAAATCCATGGCTGGACCACCAAACTGTGATCATTATCTTCTTGACGTGTAAACTTGGTTTGGGAAAGGTTGTCGGAGGCTCATCCACACCTACCCACTGAGCAGAACTTCTTGTTATCATACAGGATCCATTTCTCCTCACAGGTTATAATATGATGGAGAGAAGGTTCAACATCATTTCTTCTCAACAGCGAATTTGAAACCTCAAAGCGCTTTAATTGTTGCTGCTCCGTGAGTTCGTATGGCGCCCATTTGTCAAGCTTCTTCATCATTCCAAGCTGCTTGAGGTGGGCAGCGACGACTGTGTGGGAGACATCTATCTTCTTGGCAATCTCTCTCAAAGGTTGACGTCAATCTTCTTCGACTACTCTTAGCAAAACAACGTGGTCAACTAACGTCTAACGTCGTCTAACGTCGTCAACAACGAACGGCCAGAACTTTTCTTACATCCTAATACATGTTCCTCAGATGGAAGTTGCTGTTGGTATGCAAGTTACGGTCCGAATATATACATATCTATACACACATATATATACAGGGGTGCCCAAAAAAAAGAGACACTTTCACTGCTCGGCTGTACCACCAATGTAATCAAACTTTATTAAATTCTCACTGAATATAACCACCCGCAAAATCAACAACACATTGTTCTCGATCATGGAATTCTTCCATGGCCTTCCGCAGGAACGAAATCGAAAGTTTTTGCCACGTAAATTAGATGCGTCGTCTGAGGTCGGCGAGATCGGCAACTTTTTGACCATCGTAGACCATTGCGGAGCTGTCGGGGCTACAGGAAGTCAGCGGTCTTCCAGATCCTAAGCGACGATGTCCAGGAATCTGTCCGTGAGCGACTCGATTGAGAAAGTTGCGCATCTGCTTGTTGCCGACCGATATCCCATGAGTCGTCTTGAGCGCGTCCGCAATGACAGACGGCTTCATATTTTGATGCCGATATAGGAACCACACGAGTTCCTGCTTCCTTTCATCAAGCTCATCAAGCAACATTCTTAGTACAATTTACCCAATCACATTCTTCTGCTGCTTAAAACTGCTGCTTTTTTTTGGGCATCCCTGTATAAACTTTACTAGAAAAGGAGGGTATCTTCTCAAATATTCACTCAGCAAAAGAAGTAGGATCCATACTGTGAAAGATAATGAGTAGATTATAATTCAATAAATCAAAGCCACTCCATCTTTATTGATGGATTTCTTTGCTAACCAGTAGAGTTGGGATTCATATTGTGGAATATAATCAATTCAGTGCTTGTAGTCCTGCAAGAATTTTGAGGTCTTGTGGACGCTAACTCTGTTAAAAGAAGCCCTTTCCTTAAAAAAAAAAGACGGACGTTGCTCCACCTCTGTTAGGGAGCGTTGCTTTCAAATATTGAGAAAGCTTATTAATATATATTTTCATAGCATGATAAGAAATCAGTTATCTCGAGGACACTTCTGTTGTCGAACGAGCCTTTTCCCGAAAAGGTAGATAAAATTGGTATTCATATTAACAAAACCCCTCCAGTGTATACAGTCCTACAAGAATTTAGAAGTCTTCTGAAACTTGTGTCGTCAAGAGCTTTTTCGAAAGAACGACACGTTGCTCCATCTTTGTTGACGAGTGTCCTCCTGCTGTGAGCCTTTTCTAATGATCGTCCATCACTTTCCCCTTCAGTCCCTTCATTTTTGTTGAAGCAGTGTTCTTTTATTGAAGACCATTTTGAAAATTTGTTCCATATTGCGGAATTGAGTCAATATAGTGTTTTGAGGTCATGTGAGTATTTGGAAGAAGACCTGATTACCCATGTCAAACATGGCAAGCCACTGGTTGGTATCTAGTATATATAATGAAAACTGCATTTTCCTGGATCTGACGAAGCTTCAAACACCGCAGCAATAGAACTCACTATGAAAGTACTCACCGATGACAAAAAGACATCACCCGTCACACGCTGATTCCGAGCTTCTGTTTGGAACATGCAACAGCGGAGGGGTTCAACAGCGGCGTGGGTGTCCTCGCAAAAAGCACATGGCCATGAATATCGATTCACACGAAGGCTTAAAAACATGTATCGGGTCTATGCGATGGATAGATAGGATAGATAGGTTCGATTCCAGGCGTACAGTCTCCGTCGCCCACGCAGCGATATCAGGTCACGACGAAGAGGAGCTGGAAGTGTTCTATATGAACGTGAAGAAACTACAGGGTGGGGTCAAAATTGTGATTACAGCGCGCGCGGGCGCGCAAAACTTTTTTTTTTGAGTTCTCGAAATTTCAGTCGGTTTTTTGCAGTTAGCTGGTAGGCTACATTATTCTCTTCCCAACGACACCAAAAATTCGGTTGATTTAATAAAGAATAAAAACGTCGCAACATCGTGAAATAATCATTACTTTGTATCTATGCGACATTTCTAGACGACTTAATGCCACAAGACAACTGGTATATTCGACGATAAGACGTTTCAGAGAGTTGGGTACATCTGCGGATCGAAAGGGTAGAGGTAGAAAGTCTTCGGTGACTTCTAGAAGGAATATTAAGAAAGTGGGCGAGAGACTGCGACGCAGTGGAGATCTCGATCTGTGCGCAAAAGTCTAAAGAATTAGGTATTTCACGAAGTTCCCTGCGCAGAATCGTGAAATATAATCTGCACGACAGAGCCTTCAAAAGGTCATTCCCAGAGCTCATTTCCTGAATAAGCAAACTAAATTGGAGAGGAAAGACCGCTCACAAGAACTGCTTCACCGGTTTCAAGGTGACCGTCACAGGGAAATTCTGTTCATTGAAAAGGTATTTACGGTGGAACAAGTGCTCAATAAACAGAATGACAAGATTTATGCAAGTCGAAACCGTAGGAAGTTTTTGGGAGTGTTAAAGGACCAGGTTTTACCGAGAACGAGAGAACACTTCGGTCACTCGAAATGGACATTTCAGTAAGACTCATTTCACTCTTAACCAAAATCAAGAATTGTTCAAGAATTTTGTAGAGGAGCGTTTCCCGACTTCATAGCATCCGATAAGTGGCCACCAAGCAGCTCGTATCTGAATCCAATGGATTTTTCGTGTGTTCAACGCTGGAAGCGGAAGCATGCGCAAAACCACACAATAACTTGGACAGTTTCAAGAAGGCATCCTACTTACTATAAAGCGCTTAGTCTGTCCGTCTGTCCGTCTGTCTGTCTGTATGTATGTCACGAAATTCCTTAGCTCCTTTAGATCTGCCTGGAGAGACCGGGTCAAGTGTGGGATGGGTGGGTCAGGTCTCGGGAAGTATAAAACACACATCAGCTTGGCGGAGCCCCGCCCACAGTGGGCGTGGCGCGCCTCGAAATGAGCCCTACCGAGGACCATGATTTCAAATTCAGTCATAAGACGACTTCAAAACTGGGGTTTGAAGGTGGCTTGAGGTGTGCATTGGTAAGTTAGATCGAACTAAGGAGACCCACCCCCGATGGGCGGGGCGTTCTCCAAAAATGCAGTGCTTTATGAAAACATTTTTAACTCGGTTTGGAGAAAGCCAACAGAGCAGGAAAGAGTTGATTTGGGAGAAGCATTGTCGAAGGTGTCTCCAGCATAAATGACGTCAGCGGAGGCCCGCCCACAATGGGCGGAGCGTGTCTCAAAGCTCACATCCCTTCTTACATTTATATACGAAAATCCACAACTCCAGTTCCTATGGACCTAGAAAGTTCAAACTGGGTAGGAGTACAGGCGACTGGATGGGAAGACTTGAGGTGGGTGGCAACACCGGACTCCGCCCACAAGGGGCGGGGTTTGGGTGAAAATTCATAATTCTGTCCCAATGGACCTAGAAAGTTCAAACTTGGTAGTACAGGCGACAGGATGGGAACACCTATGGTGGGTGGCAAAACCGAACTCCGCCCATAAGGGGCGGGGTTTGTGCGAAAATTCGTAACTCCTGTCCCGATGGACCTAGAAAGTTCAAACTTGGTAGGAGTACAGATCCCGTGATGGGGAAACTTATGGTGGGTAGTAAAACCGGACTCCGCCCACAAGGGGCGGGAACTGTGCGAAAATTCGTAACACCTGTCCCGATGGACCTAGAAAGTTCAAACTTGGTAAGAGTACAGGCGACAAGATGGGAACACTTATGGTGGGTGGCAGGACCAGACTCCGCCCGCAGGAGGCGAGGTTTGAGCGGGAACTCATAAATCCAATAAAGGTCTATAATGAAAATCAGCTCATGCGGCTCCATCTCTCATGGCTAGAGCCCCTAGCGCGCGAGAGCGTGCGTAGCCGCCTGATTACAAAAAGCCTGGGATCAACTTGACGCATCCGACCTGCCTGCCACGATTGAGTCGATGCTCTCCCTCGTCGTCTCCAAGCATGTGTGGACGGACAACGCAACAGATCCCAATTTTAACGTACTATTGTAATAAGGAATTCGTGATGAATTGTTTTTTGTAATTACTTTGGTTCGTTAGCTCAATACTCGTTTCTGTCGGTGCGATGTCTGTGCGATCATAATTTTGGCTCACCCTGCACAGAAATGATCGCACTTCCTTCAAGGTTACTGTCGGCGACTTTGACACTGCAGAAAAACTGCTTACCAGGAAAGGGTTTCAACTGCCCCATTTAACTTTGAATACTTGCCCAGGTATATCGACAGGGTTTGGAAGGCCATTAACAAATTTAGAAATTAAGACTGCCAAATGAGTCAACCAAAAAAGTTGTTAGCGCTCAAAGTTTGCATGGGCAAAGCATGCAGAGATATTGACAGTTGATATGCGCAGTTGTCCACATCTCCTGCGAGGGACTCCGTGACATAGTAGCAGTGCTCTCCCTCTCCAAGTGAGCGATGAGAGTTTGCTTCCTGTTGGTGTTTTTGTTTTTGCGAAACGTGCTATCTTTCCCATGAAAGCGCTTAAACCGTTTTTGTTAGTAATTCAAGTTAGCGCTTTGTTTCGACTACCATTTGCGATCACTAATCAATCTGTCACCCATCACCGCACTCATTCAAAAAATTTTCCCCATGTTACTTTTGTAACGCTTTTTTGCGACATTGAACATACACACCCTCAAGTAAGAGACACGCAAGAAAACACAGCATCGATGAAACAACCCAAAAAGAGAATATGTGTATTTTTTTGTCTGGGTTACATTGTTTTGTACACGGTTGTAAAGATACCTTTTCTCTACACATTTTTTGGGTTGTTTCATCATGCTGAGTTTTCTCGCGTTTCTCTTACTGGGGGTGTGTATGTTCAATGTTGAAAATAAAAGAGCGTTACAGAAGTAACATGGAAAAAATTTTTTGGACAAGCGCAGTGATAGGTGATAGATAAGTGATCGCAAATGGTAGCCGAAACAAAGCCCTAACTTGAACTAGTAACAAAAAACGGTTTAAGAGCTTTCATCAGAAAGATAGCACGTTTTGCAAAAACAAAAACATCAACGGGGAGCAAACCCTCATCGCTCACAGAGAGAGCACTGCCACTATGCCACGGAGACCCTTGCGGGAGATGTGGGTAAGCGCGCAAATCAACTGTCACTATCTCTGCATGCTTTCCCATGCAAACTTTGAGCGCTCACAACTTTTTTGGTAGACTCATTTAGCGCTTTCAATTTCTGAATTTGTTGATGGCTTTCCAAACCCTATCCATATACCTAGGTCTCTATACAAAGTTCAATGGGAAATTGAAACCCTTCCCTGGTTAGAAGTTCATATGGGGAGTCACAGAATGAAATGGAATAAAAAGAGTGAAAATCTATCTACATCAACAGTAATGTCATGTCGATTAGCACAACCATCGTAATTCGCAGTAACGGTAACTCTCTCATTCGCGACGGACTTGGTAATCGCGTGGTGGACAGTTTTACAATGAAATAGATTACGTCATCTGCATTCGTAATCTTGACTTACCGCCGTCGCTGTTCTTCCGAACATCGGAAATCGAGGAAATATGTTCTTCCGAACATCGGAAATATCACAGTCACCTACCTGCTAGATTCCGTTATTCAAGGCGTGGAGGGAACAGCCGAAATCACTAA